GACAGGCCCGTGGCTGCCATGGTAGCCAACAACTCCTGAGCCGCGTCCAAGGACCGCCCCAGGGATGGCAGGTTGAAGTCCCCCAGAACCATAAGCCTCGGGAACTCCACCGCCAGCCCCGCGATGGCCTCCAGCAGCTCAGGCAGGGAGGCTGCCACGCAGCAGGGAGGCTGGTACAATAGCAAAACTCCCAACTGTTCGTGGGAGCCCAACCTAATAAACAGTGTTTCATAGCCAGAAATATGTGGAGCAATGCCCCTGAAGGCCACTAGAGATTCCCGGATCACAACAGCCACCCCTCCTCCCCTGCCCTGGCCTCTCAGCTAGTGCCACACCATGAACCTAGCTGGGCAAATTTCCGAGAGGGGCACCCCTCCCTCGGGGCCCAGCCAGGTCTCGGTGATACATGCCAGGTCTGCCCCCTCCTCGGTGATCAAGTCACTGAGTTGTTAACTGACCTGGCATTAAGCAGCAACAGCCGGAAGCCAGGGCCCCTACAAACCTGCTGACCAGGATGTGGGAATGAGCCAGGAGGGCCGGAACACGCCACCGGTGAGACATACCAGGGGCGTTTTCCCCAAAGATGGCCCGCCCTCCAGCTCCCTACATAACGTCCCCTGCCCATCACCACCTCGATGGAGTAGCCCACCGCATAGCCCCTAGGGGTTCTGGGCCCAAATACCTCCCCACCTGAATCTCCCGGGTCCCCAATCCGAAGCAATTATTGCTGTAATTTTGCATGCAAACTTGTATAGTGATTTTAAACACTCTAGATAAATTATACAATTGTTCAGAGAAGCTATTGCAGAGTTAATACAAAAGAAACATCTGAACAAAATGAATAAAAATGTTTTAAATTCAAATATGTTTCTCAAACAAGAATGAATACCTACCATGATAGGTATATAACTGCAAAGAGGGTAAGTCCCAATATTCCTTTCCATCTAGGTGGATACTTATGTGAACATATAACTAGCTCTATGAAAAGCAGTGGCAGGATGGTAGTGTGCTAGAAAGCAAAAGCAGAACATAAAGATACGAGGTACGGAAACAAAATCAGTTTTATTGCTTCTTATTCTGGTTTCAGACCCCCTATTCTGTTCCACCATTATTGCCGGGAAGATACTTTCAGGTTATTTTTGTATTTTTGCTTCCTTCCTCAATTATTTTAGCTACTATAGTTATAGTGATCCTTTTGAAGAGCCTATGTGAATAGGAAATGCTGCAAGAAATAATACAATTATTTTGTGTGAAATTTCTAGCAGGGGTTGTCAGGGAATAAAACTACAGATTTTAAGGATGTTTCTAAAGATTTAGAATATGCTTCTGTGATCTTGTTAACCGGCTTGGGGTGAGGAGACTTTAGAAATGTTGAAAGCAGGAGAGCACTTTTTGAAGTTTGAGAGCTGCATGGCATAGTGTTGCAATGGACACACTGAAAACAGGAAGCATAGCTAGGACAAAGAAGTATGGAGGTGGGGGACAGTCAAAACAAAAAATTAATGTAATTCAATTTATATTTGAATTCAACTAAAGTTAAAGTAAATATGCTTGCCTCCCCCCCGTCCCTTTTTTAAAAGATACTGTTCCTCTCCTGCTGCATGCAAAGCTACAATTTGATAGCAACTTTTGGAGTATCTATACAATTGCTGCACCCAAAGTTTTCAGCAACTGCACTCAACTGATGACTCCCAAAATACACTTCTGCAAATGCGACACAACTTTATTGACTTATTTACCAAAAAATTTATATTACTGCTGACTTGCAAGATGTAAGAGGGTTTATAGTAAACAGAACCACATGTATCAAAACAATAATTATAAAACTGCTTAAAACAAAATAATTTAACAAAAAACACGTCCAGCCAAAGTGGCAGACAAGCATCACCCTCATCTACCAAATGTTCTCAGGAATGGGATGGTCTTCGCAGCCTAATATAGTGTTTCTCAACCTTGGTGACTTGAAGATGTGTGGACTTCAACTTCCAGAATTCCCCAGTCAGCATTCTAATTCTAATTCTAATTCTAATTCTAATTCTATACATACATACATACATACATACATACATACATACATACATAC